TACAAACTGAGCTTTCTCAGGAGCAATTATTATTATGGGCAATGTGTTGACCATCGTTAAGAGTTCCACAGTAAAATTTGTTTATTAATTGTTCTATTTCCATATCTTTCATAACATGTCTACAACATTTGTAGATCTCCAAATGATAAATGACTCACAAAACTAAACAACAGCGATTATAAAGGCACACATACAATAAACAGCAATATGCATGACTCTAGATACGTACAAACACACACACACACACACACACACACACACACACACACACACAGTCACACACACAACACACACACACACACACACACACACACCACACACACCACACACACCACACACCACCACACAACACAAACACACACACACACACTTTGATCTCTCCAGACAAAATAAAATATACCTCCTCTTGGCCTCCTCGTATTTCAGACTCAGACGGACTTTCTCTGCCAGTTTGTTGGTGCTGGTCATAAACTGAATACAAACAATATACAATATCAACACAATGACATGGAGGACGCATTGACACATATCAATTCATAAACCAATGGCAATATCTGATTAAACATAGTGAAAAAACAATGGACTGAAAATCATTCATTACTCAACATTTTCAATATTCATACTTCGTTGTACTCAGAAAAACACTGATGTTTGATACCCTGCACAGCTTTTGAAAGGGGTGTCCATCCTTGTCAGCACTTGACAAAAATGTCCCAAGATTAAAGCAAACACAGGGGGCACTTTTCGATGCCGTCATTATTTTTTACCTTTTAGACTACATTGAATTTAGTGCTGACTGAAGAAATCTACTGTCAAGACCAAGACTGTGTTTCTGTATGGCCTCTCCAGAAGCTACTTCCTCTCTCCAAGGTGGACTCACCTCAGCAGGGATGTCGGTCTGGGAGCCGGCGTCGGAGTACAGCCGTGGGATGGAAAGCTCTGAGTTGGCGAGCGAGGGACTGCTGCCCCACAGCTCTTGCTGGGAGCCAGAGTCCAGCTGGAAACCGTCCTTCAACACCGCCAGTTTCTGGATGAACAGAAGAGACAAACGGCTGCTGGAGATTATATGACTCAAAACATGAATGACCTGCGGGGAGAAACTGGGACACTGCAGCAGGACTACACAGAGAATAAAAATAGGATGCGATTAAGGCCAGAGAAAAATATGATTAAATAAACAATAAATGTATTAAGTGAGCGAAATTAAGATGTGATATTCAACAAGAATGATCTGCCCCTTAAATGGTTTAATGCTTCAGAATCACATATTTTGTCTCCTATGAACTGAAGCTACTAGAAGTTTGTCTTCCTTGCTGTAAAAAGTCACCTTGCTGTAAAATGACAAAACTGCAAAGTGTAAAAGACTACGTCCTCTGTGTTAGCTGCATGTTTCCCATGAGTTACAGTATTGCTGCAGTGACAGCTGCCACAGCGATCCTTTCATCTTTAAAGCCGGGATGAATATCTTACATGACTTTGCGGTTCGTTTTGAAGCCTGCTGTGGAATGCACCTTATCTTTACACTTCAGATGGGGCAGAAAAACAACATACCAATTCTGTGATAACTGTAGTGCTTATTTGGAGGTTGCAGCGCGCCAAATGACTCTGCGTTTCAGACTCTCATCCAGAGACCAGATTTAGCAACATTTCAGCATAAAGCTACATGTGGATGTTAAACAGAATGGCAGCTCCAAGTGGCAGCTAGAGATAAGTATGATTTTTGAGTAATGAAATATTCCAAATATAGATTTAAACAGTGTGTGCTCATCATGCCTACATTCCTCTTGGAAAAACATGATCACAGCAGGTTCAGCTGAAGCAGTTTTTGCTCAATGGAGCAGCTGTTACACTATTCAGAGAGAGTTCTTGCACTTCAAGAAGTGATAAGAGGCCAAGAAGATTCCTCAGTCAGCACACACAGTTTATTTCATTTGGGTAAATGGAGTGGATCAACAAAATTTAATTTAAGGATGGTCCTCTTTTTTGGTCCCTGTTGCACTAACCTCTCTCCTGTCTTTCTCCATCTTTAAACCCTCTTAAATGGTAAGAAATGAGCTAACGCTTCATTTTACAGATCTATATTTACCTAATAATTCCCAATTATTTTCTAGGAAGTTATCTGTAAATTACTAAATTACTAGCTGGGCTAATTTAAAATAGGAAAATAGGAATTTCACTGAAATAACTGCTTTAAACCCAAATGAAGAGTAATTTATTGTTCCTTTATTATTTGAGGCTTTTTTCTTTATATATATTAAATTGTATGTGTATGTTTGGCTCAAACAAATAATACTGGTTTAATCTGCCTTTTTCAATGAATTAATTCTTAACTACATAGATTTTCTTTATTTTTCACACATCACATTGTCTCAGAGCCCAGGGTGACATCTTAAATTATCTTTTTGTCTGACCAACACTCCAAAACCCAAATATACTTAGATTATTATCACATAAAGTTGCAAATCATCAAAATGGAGAAGCTGGAATTAGGAAATGTTTGCTTGAGTTAAGACAATTAATTAATTAATTATTTAAGATAAGATTTTCTGTCGATCCACGAATCAATTAATTGAGGGATTGTTTCAGGTCTAAACTGTAACAGTGAGGTATCTCAATAAGAATACACTGTACCTCTCTCTCCTTTTCTCTAGTTGTGCACCACAGCCATATCAATATACATAGATGCAGAGCACACAAGGACACACACACACACACACACACATATGTGAACAGACAATCTCACAGACTGAGCTGTCAGCTGCAGATGGTAAGGGGGAGGGAGGGGGAGAATGGGAGAGAGAGGGAGGCAGAGAGAGTCCACAGAGTAGATTATGTATTATTGAACACACTATCCTTCCTCTACCTCCAAACCAATCTGCAGCCAGACCTGATATTTTAAATCTATATGTGAGAATGGGGGTGTATGTAGGAATATTGTCAACACAGGGGTGTTTTTATTCAGAACTGGAGTCTAAAAATGCTCAAAATGGTAACAGACGATTTATAGATAGCTGCTCTACATTTTCCACCCTTTAATATGCTGTGCAGACCTGTTGATGTGCAGTCCTGTTTGTGCCTGGAGCAGAACATCTGCACAGTTAAGAAAGACAAAAAATGTTTCTTAAAAGATTAAAATCGAACACTGAACCTAAAGGAATTCTCATGGTGGTCATTTTTGTGTAACAGCGGACTAAAAAACTATTTGCAAGTCATTGCATCAGAGTCAAAATCTGTATATCAAACAGACTTCTTATCCATCTCCCCTCATCCCTGCAGACTAGTATACTGTACACCTGCAGACTGTGAGTCCCATCATGCAACTTTAAAACACACCAGCCATGGTGGAAATATGGATGAGCAGCACTGCGATGCTGTCACACACAATAAAGGATGAGGCAGAGAGAGAGATTACCATTCAATGCTCCGCTATCTTTACAGGCTGAGTCTATTTTTAATGGAGTAGTTTGTGTCTCTTCAGTTAATTGTAGTTCAAATATAACTTTATCTGGACGGACCAACAGTTTTGTGAGACGTTATCACGACAATAGATGAAGAAATACCCAAAGCAGCTTCAGGAAAGGTGAAAGAAAAGCACAGATCAGGCAACAAATGCATGTTCAAGCCATTCAGCATCCCCTGGAGTCCAGTTAAATCAATCATTATTAATATATGTATGAGTGTGACTGTAAATCTGCCTGCAGCAGGTTGTCCTCAATGCTGAGTGAGTCCACCAATGGACCTGAAACAAGTCAGAAGGAGTTCCAAGCTTCAGAGGCTCAGATTGGAAAGACTATACACACAACACGATTGGCCAACTGAGACCAAAATGCACCATCAGACCGAACGGCATATTTGGCATAACATCCCCAGTGTGAAGCATGGCGGTGGCAGCATCATGCTGTAGGGATGCTTCTCTGCAGCAGTGACAGAAAAGCTTGTGAGGGTGAAATAAAAGCAGCTAAATACAGAGAAATCCTGGAGGAAAACCTGATGCAGCCCGCAAGAAACCTGCAGTTGGGGAGAAGATTTGTTCTCCAGAAAGACAATGAACAAAGAACAGAGGAATTGGCTTAAAAAGAACAATGGTAATGTCCTGGAGTGGCCAAGTCAGAGTCCAGATCCCAATCCAGTTGGGAAATTTGTGGCTGGACTTGAAGTACACCGTTCCCTAGTTTTGCCCATGCAAACTGACAGAACTTGAGCAGTTTTGCAAAGAAGGATTGGCTGTTCTTCTGCATCATGCCACTGGAAAATGAAAATCTTTGGGTTTTGGACTGTTGGTCTTTATTTTATAAACAAAATAATTAACCAAAAAAAGAATAAACAGAAATTCCATTTAACAAAAACAATCATAACAGAAATAAAGAGAGACAGCCCACAGATGCTCCTAACTCACCCACCCAGAGGAGCTCTTTAAACCACAGAAGCTGCAATGGAAATAAAACTCCCATGGCAAAAAAATGTTGCTGCCATCAGCAAAACTGCTCTCACTTTCCAGAAAACCCATCTCAAACGGATCCTCACAAACACAGCCTCTTCTTCTCTTGAGCGAACGGGACAGGCTGTCATCACAACGGCCGAGGTGCGACACTAAAACACCACCTGCCTCTCCCTGCAGCCTCAGCTCCTCCGAGCCACTAAATCTCTTTTAGCACATCTGGCCTTTCTCTCACAGCAATATAATGTAAAGTGTTTTAACACGCGTACAGACTCTCCTGAGAGTCATCTGATGCCCTCATCTTCTCCACTCACAGTCCGCCTTTTTTTTTTTCTTGCCTCATTCCCTCGTTTATACTCCTACTTCATCTCAGTATGCTGTTCATTTTCTATTCGTTCTCTTTATCGCAAATCACTTCCCGTCACAGCTTTATAAGCGGAGTTTTATACTGTACCTCACTGCAAAGTCCATCTTGGGGTAAATAACCAGAAGTTTTTCAATTCTGGTTCTTGGCGCGTTTCATTTTAACTATTTAGTTTCCTACCGAGCTGAATGCAGTTAAAATACGTGTTAGAAGGAAAAATACACACATCATTTGCCCAGTTGCAGGAACAAATAAAAGGAGCACACAACAAGAACACAATAAATCTTTTTTCAGGGTCAACTGGTGTGACGTGTGGACCTTCCATCTCAACTCATTTACCCTCACAACCCAAACTGATCTCCTTGTAGCAAGAGAAGGTTTTTCAAGAAGCTGAAGTGGCCAAAGAACTGACTGCTTGAACACTGCAGTGTAAAAAAAAGACTACATCTTTTGCTTTGATTAGAAAATAAAACTTGTTACTACAATTCAATTGTCCTAAATGCAGCCATATTGAATCATTTTCTTTGTGTGTAAAGATTCACATCATGATGTGGCCTTGTTGTGATTTCTGACATGATCCACATGGCTCTTAGTATCAGATGTCAGTATTTGGATTCTCTGTCTCCTCTTTCCTCCTCCTTTTGTTCGGAGCTGATCAAGTCAACATCTTGCCTTCCGCAGTCTTTAAACAATGCTAACCTTCTACATACAAAAACAGGTTTGTACTTAACTTTACTCCTCTGTATTTGAGTGTTTTTGGCTGAATTTTAATCGTAGATAAATTAGATAAGCTATTGCAAAAATATTTGCCAAATTACTACAATGAAGGTACTTGTTCAATAATGCCCAAATGCACTAGATTTGATTTTTGATCTGACACAATGCAATTCGACATTTAATGTTACTCCATAAATTACTACATTCAGTTGCTAAAGGGTCTAAATTAGGCCCCTACAAGGAACTTTTGTGTTGATTCTGGCGGCCCCTGTGGACGAAAGCAGTAGAGTTTCTACTGCTTCATTTCATTGATTTCAATGGGAACACTACCAAATTCGACCCAGTGGCAGACATTAAGAATAACTATATAAAAATAGCCATCTCCACTGATGGTATTGTTTGTTTATGTAGGCATCAGTTTTAAATTGAGACTGTTTCATAACCAGCATGATGTCCTGAAAAACTTCCACCAAACTGGGACACATCAAACTACCAAGCTGAGGTCCACAGTAATGGGGTTTTGAGTCGGTTTTGGTTGGCTCAAACATTTTTTAGAATGGCTTTTAATGTGTGTTCCCTCCATTACAAATGTCTCTTTACCTGCATGAGTTCCTGTTTCTCTTTCTCCCCAGAGCTGATGGCGTCTCGGATGGAGCGGACCTCGCTGAGGATGGCCTGCGCCTCCTGCAGTTTGTAGCCATACGGGCTGCTGGACACCTTCTGGTCGATCCTGGAGGTCAGGGGGAGGGAGCAGAGCCAGAGGGTGAGGTAGGGAGGGAGAGGTAGGGAAGGAGATAAGAGAAGTTCAGTTTGGATGATGATTAAGAACAATGTAAGCATCAGCGGGTTTAAACAAATCATCCTGTAAAAATATGCCCGACTGTCCGCTGCTTTGGACAGACATGGAAAAAGTCGGTTTCAAATATCTAATGACTTCCAATTAGCTGCTTTTTTTAATGTTTACACAGGAAACTGAGTCATCTGAGCATACACACATTAGAGCAGCACTCCGACTCATTTCCATAAAGTTATACTAAGTGAAATCCTCCCGGTGTAACCACAGCTTTTTCCTAGCAGTTAGTCAGCAGAGTCATAGGAAGGCAAAACAGCAGTCATTACTCATTCACTTTCCTTACACATATTAACTGTGACAGTGTCGATACTGGGTGTTCATACCAAGGATTACCAAAAGTTGGCAATCCACTACGGCATTTTAGTTTAGTAGCTTATTCTTTACAAAAATACTGTTTGATTTATAATTATGTTTTAAAAACTATACTGTTTTAACAAATATTTTTAAAAATATATGATTTTGTTATTGATAAGAAAACTCGGGCACTGTTTCGGACAACATCAAGCTCTTCCTGTGGAGTTGTCACTGTCTTGTTTCTCTAACGTCTATTCTCATGGTTCTCAAACAAGTGCCACTAAGGCCAGAAAATTTGCAACGTCTTTGTTTTCCCCAAATCAATCGCTACACTGGCTCATTTCTCCAGGGGTTGAGCAGATCGGCTGATGTAGTAAATTGATGGACAAAAGCCTAGAAATCTGCCACCTCAAAAAAAACCTGAATTTTCATCAGTTGGGAACAGCAGCACATTCATATGGGGTTTAGACCACTAAAGCAGCTCATTTGAATAGATATCCTTTTCTCACAGTTTTTGTTTGCTATCCAAAACAAAAGCCCTATACACCCAGACATGGTCAACTACTGTGTGGCAGAAATGACCTTTGTATCACCAGTAGAGCCGATCACACAATATGTGACAAAGTGTCTCTAACCTGTATTTAATTTGTACAGGGTTTCTGCCAGTTTAACTTTTTAATACAGAACAGAAAGCAAATTAATACCCGTTTCACAATCATATGAAAGTACTAAAGTGGAAGCAGGGAAGATGTGGCCTAGAATTATCTCTTATCATAGAACATTTTCAGTACTTTCCGGCTGTATATAACAATAATTCCTAATAATATCGTTAATTTGATTAACATGACATGCACATTGATAAAGTGAGAGAAAATGGATGGATGGATTAACCAAATAAGAACTAACAATACATTTAAGTTCATAAGTTCTTTGATCAAATTTACATGTACTGACTATGGGACAATGGGCTTCCAGGCTACTGTAACTGCAGCAGTCACAGTGTTTGCTGCAGGTCTGATGGTGCTGACAGAAACCTCACAAAAAAGGACTGAACAGCCTCCGGCAGCACAATCCCATCACAACAGTCCAACTCTTAGTTTATGTGTTAAGATCTCCTGACAACCCATGACCAGGTGCAAAAGCATTTTATAACATTATGACATTACTACCTACAGGAGGCAAGAAAAAATATCGAAGACTTGTGTGGATTAAATATTAGACGTTTTAATACCCTCTAAGGGTACCTCTCCTTTTTTTCTTCAGGAAACTGAATTCTTGTCAGGACCTACATATACTCGTTGTTAGGTTGCTTTTTTCAACAGAAAAGGGAAAGATATGTAAATGAGAACAGCTAAACTGAGAGTACTGAGAGTATTAAAACAGTACAGGTGTTCGTGTAGAGCAGGAGGTGATTCAGCCAAGCAAACATGGCTGTCTGTCCCACTCCTGTCCAAACCATATAATGGCTATAATGAACATTTCTTTGTCAAAAGAAGAGGTTTATCAATTTTACTGTTTACTTAGCCATTTCTGTGTGGACAAAACAGCCTAAAAAATGCTAATGCAAACGCCGATTGTTCCACAGGTAAAATGTGTTTTCACACAGACATCTTGATCAGTTTCTAAGTACAAGTTCAAATGTTTGCTCAACTCTTAGCTTCCAGGTAACACACATGAGATCCTGTTTTCAGCTGTGGGCAGACTGGGAAGACCCTGCTGCTGCAGGGAGAACAGACAGAATAGACACTGCAGGAAACAGCCATCAGAGGCAGCAGCAGCTATGTAAACCCTGTCATCAGCAAGTCATGCATGCATCTGAATAACAGGTCCTTCCACATTCTTCAGAGAGGGACGCGGGGGAGGGAGGTTCGGACCGAGAGAGAGAGAGAGAGAGAGAGAGAAGAGAGAGAGAGAGAGAGAGAGAGAGAGAGAGAGAAAACAAGGTACAGAGAGAATGAGGAAGTGAGGGAGGGAGCGAAGCACTTGTCTGTAACAGGCAGAGAGAACAAGTAATCCTCTCTAAGTCCTTCTCAAACATGGACTTATGCTGAGTGAAAACGGTGTTATGAACCTTTTTATAATTAAAATCACAATGGCCGCTTTACAAAAACAGAGAGAACGAGAGACATTTAACAGAGACTCACTAAGCCAAAACATTTAACTAACCACTGTCACACAATTTAAAGTTTCCATAGTATATTTTAGGTTTTAAATGAGAAAAACTGTGTCTTTCTTGCACTAACTAGGTACAGTCATGATTTCATGGTCAGGGGAGCTAGCCATTACCATGGCAACCAGAGCTCCTGCTCCTGTTTTAGTAAATATCTGCTATTCTGAAGTGTCTCTTACAAAACACTGAATCTCTCCCTGTTTGGGTGCTGGATGACCTGTGACCTCAAATGGTAAAATACACACCTTTGGGCCGAAGAGGCGGTGCCCTGTCATGTATAACTCTTCATATGTTACAGTACATATGGCCTAAGTATACTAAAGCATGTATTTTTGAGGCCGATATCAATATTGAAGACTGATATTTTTAAAAAGACAACGATACACTGACTGATAGATTCTTCTGTGATTTGGTACACTTCCATAAAACAGAGGGGGTACTGAGAAAGAATGGTCAAAATATGTTAAAAATCTGTAAAGCAGATGCTGCGATATCCTGACTTTTAGCCTCTATTGTGGGTCAAGCTCCAACACTTCCCATCATGCCATTCGATAACATCCTGTTAGACCCTCCCTGCCTGGTAAATGCCCATGACTTCCAAACTTTCTTGTAACGCAGGCTTTCCGGTCCTATCTGAAATATGACTCCCAAAGCTACAGAGAACATTAGACAACAAGTCGTACTATTAGTACTAGTAGTAGTCACTGTTCCCACTCAGCCACAAGAGCAGTAGTGAGGCGCAACAGTGATGTTGGGTGATGAAGCAGTTCTGTGTTCCACCTCCCTCCGAAGGCGTTGTATGGAGTTGAGGTCAGGGCTCTGTACAGGCCAGTCATGTTCTTCCACAACAAACCGGGAAAACCATTTCACTACACGGTAGTTCCCCAACATTTTGGCTTGTGACCTCCAAAAAACAAAGTCTACTTGTGAACCCTTGTCACTGGCTACATATGTCTACCAGTGGGTTTTTTCCCCCCCTTGTTTCTTTTTTTGAAGGAATTAAAATGATCCGCTAAATCATATGAACAGAGTTTTCCACATACTTTTGTCCATACAGTGTATTCTGTTCTACATATCAAAAAACATCATTAAAGAAATAAAAAAAACTCCTGTGCACCAGTATTTTGTGAAATCTTATCAGGAGCTGAGTGTTCGGCTGCATTCCAGTCTAAGCCTATTCGTATTTCTGCAAACAGTGATTGGTTGTTGAACGCCGTCTGATGACTGTAACAGGAGAGGAAAGTCACGGAGGAATGCTGTCCAACCACTCTGCCTCAGCTACTCTTTAATCCTCCTGACACTCTCACTGTGCTGCGTGAGGCAAGACAAACAGACCGGACATTCCTGTTCAATTCAACATTGACCGAGAGCGGATCGGCATGCCGGCTTTCCAATGTGGTGAATTTCAAAAACAAAATCACAGACAGCTTCGGCTTCAGAGATAAAGAACAAATAGAAGAATGGATCCCTTACAAATCAACATTCTTGACTGACGGCCTCACTGCTACACCTTGCACTTTTCTAAAGAGCTCGCTTCATATTCTGAGGTGTAGAAGTAGGTCAGATAGAAGGGGTGTTTCCTTTCGAATCCACATTCTTCAGCTGTTGTTCCACTTGTGCGTTTATAGAGGTGTTAGTGTTTAATGATCAGATGGAATGTGTGATAATGCTGAGGCAATAACTGAGGTGATAAGCGAGCCAACTGCACCGAAGCCTCTCACTAACTTGCATCAGTTCGAGCAACACATTCACATTTACTGTTAACATGCTGTTTAACAGGGCAAATTCCAGCAAGTTCAAACATTTCAAGAAGGCCTGACTCCTTCATCTCTACTGTACAACGAGATTTCTGTGATGTGTCACAGATAAGGATAAAACAAATTAAAGATAAGAGCTAGGTAGAGATTTGACTAAGATGGCTGAGGGCGTCCACACTGGGTCGGCTTTTTCTGAAAATGCTTTTATATTGGATCAAGAACAAGAAAAATAATACATTTTTTCATCGTCGCCCGCTTTTTGTCAGCAGACGACCAAACAGCTGATAAGGGTTAACATGTGTTGAGCAGTCGGAAGGTTAAACCTACATTTAGTCCACCTCTACCTCTCCATGATCATTTGTGCTGTGTTTGATACAGCCAAACTCAAGGTTTAGTTGTTCTTACTGACATTTTTGTTTCTGTTGTCAGGTAAATAAATGAGCATGAAACAGTGATTTGATCACAGCCCACAGATGCTACCTGTTGACAATGTGAACATTAATTCTGTGGCACTGAGAAGTCAGTCAGACATGTTTTTTGTCTGACAATAAGATAGATGAATGATGTCTATATTGACATTTCAATTAAGTAATCACAGACAGAGCTAGGGAAGAAGTTGCTTCTTACTGAGTGATGGAGTTTGAACATGAGAGATTTCTGTATTTCCTTTTATTTTTGTAAGTCTCTGATCTCTCGCTGGTTTGAAGAGGGCAAGGCAGAGTTGGGAAAATGTACCAATCAGGATTCAGCAAAAATATAAATCAGAATCTGTCAGTTTCTGACAGTCTGTGTTTTGTTTGGTCAAAGCCTACTCTTCTCATCCACACTAAAACACGATGGAGATTTCAGACTGATCCACTCTAGAGACCTTTTTTGAGCTGTCAAAAACACTGGGTTAGTCTGGACGGATGGCCAAAACA